GTGTGGGGGCGGCTGGCACGTGTCAGTGTGGGTCCCACTCCTGCTGCTGCGGCTCTGCCCAGGGACAGGGACAGGGCTGAGTTTCCCCCCCGAGGAGCTCAATCCATGTGGGAAACAGCGGCTAAATCTGCTCGTGCCTTGCAGGGTGCCAGAGATGGGGCTGGGAAGGGGCTCGGGATGGTGCCGCTTGTGAATATCCTACCTAAACCAGGAGCAATGCAAAAGGTCCCACTGGATCCCAGCTGCAAGATCCCAGTGGATTGGGATGCCATATCCCAGCCACCAGGGCAGCGAGAACCCAGTGGGTCCAGGATGCAAGATCCCCCAGAGCTGGGGCACAAGATTGCAGCCAAAGCGGGTGCAGGACCCCAGCCAACTTGGGAAGCAGCATCCAGGCTGCAAGGCTGCGAGATCCCAACAGATCCGGGGTGTGAGATCCGTGCGGATCCCGGGTGTGAGATCTCGCCAGCCCCAGGATGCAGGATGCCAGCAGATCCGGGGAGCTGCATCCCAGTGGATCTGGAGCGCGTGATCCGAGCCAGGCTGGGAGAGGCTGCCAGGCTGCAAGCTCCCGATGGATCAGACGTGCAAAATCCCGGCGGGAGATCCCGGCGGGACCGGGGAGGGCTGTGAATCTCCCTCCATGCCCCATCCCCGGTCGCCGCGGGCGGCGCTGGGCGGCCCGGGCGGGCGGCGCTGCGGGCGGGCCGGGCCGGGCCGGGGGCGGTGCTGACCCGGGAAGGGGAGAGGGCGGGCCGGGCACGGCGGGGGGGGCCTGCGGCCCCCGTGCGCGCTCCGGGAGCCCTGTGCACGCTCGGAACGAGCTGCATGCACCCTTGTGCAAGCCCTGTGCGCCCTCGTGCGAGCGCCGGCACTCCTGTGCAAGCACCGTGCAAGCTCCGTGCAAACTTGTGCAAGCACCGTGCAAGCTGCATGCACGCTCTTTGCAAGCTGCGTGCACCCTTGTACATGCATTGTCCACACACTCTGCAAGCTTCGTGCACACTCTGTGCAAGCACCGTGCACTCCTGTGTCAGCTCCTCTGGGCACTCTTGTGCACGCCCTATACATTAATGTCCAAACCCCAGGCAGTCCTGTGCAAACGCTGTGCCAGCGCCATGCACCCTTGTGCCAGCCCTATGCATCCTGGTGCAAGCTGCACGCACTCCTGTGCAAACCCTGTGTCAGCACCGCTTGCACACCCAACACGCGTGTGCAAGCAACCTCTGCAAGCAGCCTGCATGCTCCATACATCCCTGTGCCCCCCCCGTGCCAGCTCCTTGTGCCCCCACACACCTCTGCAAAGGGGGGCACGCTCGCCGTGGGGGCATCCTGGCACTGACGGCCCCGTGTCCGCAGGGCGCCATGTTCCGGTGCAGCGCGCAGTGCTGCGAGAACAGCTCGGCCTCCATGCAGCAGGTGCAGCAGTGCATCGAGCGCTGCCACGCGCCCCTGGCACAAGCACAGGCCATCGTCACCGGCGAGCTGGAGCACCTCCAGGTGAGGCTGGGCCGGGCAGCGGCGTGCGGGGGCACCACGGGCCCCTCACCACCGTGTCCCCTGTCCCCACGCAGGACCGGCTGAGCCGCTGCACGCTACACTGCA